CTAGTAGTGTCTTTGCTCCTAGTAGTAAGGCCAGGAGCCCCTAGTAGCGTCTTTGCTCCTAGTAGTAAGGCCAGGAGCCCCTAGTAGCGTCTTTGCTCCTAGTAGTAGGACCACCACCCCTGGTAGGCCGTGTGTTTTTCTTGCTATGTTTTCTTTTTCGACGCTTTTTTGCATCCCAGCTCCAGGTCTTCGTTGCATTGCACAACAATAAAACATATCTCAAGCTGCAAATTGTTGGGGTGGGCTGCGGGGGGGTGGGGGGTGGGCCAAAATAATGACGTCGGTCTACATCGTCTCGATCGTCTCGTCTTCATGCGGCGCCGAGTTTTTCCCTCAAAGGCCATGGGTGGCCTCAGTTTTGTGGGCGCGCTCGGTTTGTCGTACGTGTTGTTGTTGCGAGTAGTCAAGTTTACGGACATCGGAGAACTTCCGGCCAACCTTAAGAACTGTTTTTTGGTGGATGTGTTCCATGTGGACAGTTCAAAAGCTCGCGCTCGCGAAACACACTAGCGCACCTTTTCACATTGAACACAAAAGCCTGCACGTGTTGAGTTCTCGATTGATGTTCTCACCGAACAGACTCCCCCATCTTGCTTTCGCAAGATCTTGAAGGAAAAAGCCAAAGCTGCCGTAGGCCCAAGGCTATTTGTTCAGGCACTTGGCCTTGTAGTATTCGGCGCGCATTCGATCCATGGACCAACCGCGCTTTGCGTGGTCCTTTTGGAATTTATTCCATGGATTGGTCGGCTCATCTTCGATCCTTTGGATCGGCCTGACCATCAGCTTGGCCTTCAAACTAGTTGAACTGGCCGAGCTGGCCGTGTTGGCTTTCAGAGCCTGCTGGAGCATCGTCGCCGCAGCTTCGGCACTTTCAGCTGCTTGACTTGCAGCTGCTGCTGCGATTTGCGCACACTCTGCGGCGCGCTCAGCCCGATCCGCAGCCTCGCTGGCTGCTTGAGCTGCACCATCAGCAGCTTCACTTGCGACCTGGGCAGCATCAGGCTTGCTTTCACTGGATCTCCTTCTCATCATCTTTGATGAAGCCCTGCCCAAACAGCCCGATCGCTGCCTGGATGACCGGGACGAAGATCTCCTTCTGGACATAGAGTCTTCTCGGTCTTTGACCCTCATTTTTGGTGGATCTCCTTCATTGCCAGCACTTGGCGCAACAGCTCGCCGTCGTCGAATGGCTTGAGCTTCCTCCTCCGTCTCATCCTCCATCTCGGTGGCTTCACTCCCACGCAAACGACGGCTAACCCTCCCCCGTGACCGTGCCCGCCTGGACCGCAAGGGGTGGTGCAGCAACGTCCCAAAAGCAAACAATACACTGTAACAGTCTCAGTGTCACGGACACTTGAAAAAAACACACTGGTCCATTCTTTGTTTCTGTATGCGCGACCGCTGACTATCAGAACATGATGGCATCTAGTGACTCTGAGTTTAGTGAGACTTGGACTCAGGGTCTATGCATTTCGACCCGTCCAAGCCATGTTTCATGGCTTGTAGACTTCCTCAGTCGGGCGGTGCACAAAGATCTGCCAAATTTCGCCGGTCATGTTACCCTTCTTCCTCTTGTGGATGAACGCCTGCCACAAGTCTAAATCTTACTCAGAACAGAGCGCAAAAACACACGCTTAGGATTTCTGTTCTACTTCCCAGACCTTCTCGATGACAACTTCAACCAGCAAAAAAAATGCCTCGCCTCCCATTCGCCAGACTCGTCTTTGTAGGACCGCTCCGCAGTACGGCAATACGTGTTGTTCTCGCTCTTTGGTTCCTTCACCTCAGAAGGTTTTGCGGCACTCTTCTTCTTTGCAGCCACCGTTGGTGCCGTGACTGCAGAAACCGGCATTACAGTTTCTTCTGCCTCCTCCTCCTCCACTTGCTCCTTGACTGGCTCAGGCGCAGGCTTGAGAAGCGCTGAGGGTCGCTTCAGCACTTTGGCCCTTGCTGCCTCTTCGCCGGAACCCAATCCATCTTCTGGGTGGGACAGAAGGCCGCTTCAACGCATTGCGAAGTGCAGAGGGGCGCTTCATCACTGGCTCTGGCTCTGCAAGATTTTCGACACACACATGTTAGAACAGAAAGAAATGAGCCCATACTGCCAAAAGGCTGGGTCGGCATACAACGCGAGGTCCGAATCCTCAACGAAAGGGCAGATTCCATGACCATCGCTAAGGGCAGCAAAGATGTCGGCCAGTGGCGCGGCCATTGCGTCACAGGTCAATGTCCTCCTTGATATCCTGCATTGCTAACTCTGGTAGGTCTTCAAATGCACAGCCTCGAAAATTCAATTCAGCAACACGCCTCCACAAGGTCGCCCTCAATAGCATGTTGGCACGCCGAAAGGAAACACTCATCCGTGCCAAGGGCCACTCTCTGGGCAGCATTGTGTACAGGTTGGGGCTTGGTAGTTCAATTGGTAGCTTTGGGTTCTGCTCAGAGCCTGCCTGGAACCGGTAGACAGCTTGCATTGCCATTTGCTCATTGCTCAGACCCGATTGCCAGGTCCGTGAGCACAGTGCCCGCTTGTTCCGCTTCCTTGTTCGGGGATTCGATTGCAGCAAGGTGGATTTCTTCTAACTCCCTGTGGTCTTTCGATGGCTCTGCTTCGATTTCATCTGGCATGCCAGGGTCATCAGCCACTTCATCTTTTGGCCTGGTGACTGGCATGCTATCAAGCCCCATATGGTGCCATATGGGTATGTACTTGTATGTGTTCCTGCTCTGGTGGAGCCATGTGCTCAGGTATGCTTCCATGCAAAAGAACTCACTGCTGTTTTGCATACCCAAATTGCCCCAATGAGCACTAGCACTACCACAGGCTCCCAAAAACTGCATCGGAGTCCTGACTTCCTTGAGCCTCGGCTGCCCGAACCAATGCACCACCAGCCACCAGTGCTCTCACTGCCAGTGTTGACCAAGCTTCAAACTGGATACTTTCACCTCTCTGGAGGTCTCAAACTCACATCACCACAGAAGCCTGCGAAACCTTGGTTCAGCAGCGGCTTCGTCATGCCATTGGCAACCAACTCAGTACCTCGAAGATGAGCGAGCTTCCACCGCCGGGGTACGAGCCATGTTCATCAAGGGCCTGCTTCAGGATGTTGGACCTCACACGCAAATGCCGGGTCCTCCATGATGTGGCACTGTTGCCATAGGCGAGGCTGATAGCAGCGGCGTTGTTGGTGTAGATGACACGCTCGAAGACATTCGAGTTGTTCAGAGGCTCCCCCACATAGCGCGCAACAAAGCCTCAGTTGCACGGCCTGTGCATAAAGCTTCGCAATACAACACCAGTTCAGCTTCAGCGGTGCTGTGGGTGACAAAAGGTTGAGTTGCACTTTGCCATGCAATTGGAACTCCAGCAAAGCATACCGCCAGGCCTTGAACACTTCGATGATTGGAGCCAGTGCCATAAGCTATATCGGCAAAAGACACGCGCGATCCTCGCAGAGGGTCACCTGCGCACAAACCAAATTCGCACTTCGCCACACGTTTGAGACTCGACGCGCGCGATTCTCGCAGAGGCTCAAACTTTTCGCATTTCACGTTTGAGCACTCGACGTGCACGATCCCCGCAGAGGGTTGCTCGGGGTCAAACGCGATCGACGTTTCACCACACGTTTGAGCACTCGACACGCACGATCCTCGCAGAGGGTTACCCGCCCACAAACCAAATTCGCATTTCGCCACATGTTTGAGCAATCGACCCGCACGATCCCCGCAGAGGGCCGCTCCAGGTCAAACGCGATCGACGTTTCACCACACGTTTGAGCGCTCGACGCGCAAGATCCTCGCAGAGGGTCACGTTTCGTGAGCTCCGGCCGGACCTGCCCGCCGCCTTAAGAGTAGAAAGAAACTTATAAAGAAGTCGAATCGAAGTGTTAGAAGTATTTTTCGTAGGTGAGATTTAGTAGGTGCTTTTAGTAGGTGTTTCAACACCTACATATCTACACCTGTATCTCTACACCTGCAAAGCCCACATCTTTAAAACCTACCTCTGCAAAACCCACATCTGCAAAACCCACATGTTATGTCATGATGTATGATGTATGATGTATGATGTATGATGTGTGATGATGACGATGACGATGACGATGACGATGACGATGATGATGATGATGATGATGATGATGATGATGATGATGATGATGATGTGATAGTAGCGATGATGAAACAGATTATGTTGGAAGATGATTTGAACACATGTCCTTTGGAAGAGAAACCCTTCGCAGGTGCTTTCGGGAAAACATGTTTTTGAAAAAGTTGCCAGCCAGAAAGAAGGCACACGTACTACCACGATTTTGTTATTCAACAAAAGCTTCTTTAAAATATGTGATCCTTCTCTGGCTTGTAACTTGATCATTGACTTTGAATTTGGTCATTGGAAGCTTTGCTGCTTATAATAGATACCTCTTGTAGCGTCCTTGCTCCTAGTAGTAAGGCCAGGAACCCCCAGTAGTTTCTTGTTACTAGTAGCGATACCAGGAGCCCCTAGTAGCGTCGTTCCTCCTCTCTCTTCCAGCTGAGCCGGCTTCACGCAAGACTTGAAGCAGGAGAAGGGACAGCGCAAGATGGCCGACTACGTGAGCCAGGTAGCACCGGCGATGGCAGGTTTCTTGATGTTTTCTTTGGGTTTTTGGTTTGGAGTGCCCCGGCCGAAGCTCAAAAAATCCATGGTTGGGAGTTGGGAGTGCCCAAGACAGATTCATTTCTTTCTTTCAGGTGAGTTTTAAGAAGTATAGTACATGTGCTGCGAACAAGGGTAAGTTTGTTGTGAGAACCTTCAACCAGTACTCTTTTTTCCCTCCCTTGTAAGTCCTGAGAATGTTTTTGGTTCTTTTTTAAAGATCTTTTGGCTCCCACAAAGGGGTTCCCTTTGCCGGGAGTTGAGTTCTGTTAGGAACTGCAGGGAGAGTCCTTCCAAGCAGAATTATATAGACTGGGACTCACTAACATCGAAGTGGATGGGATGGTCCCTTGGAAGACGGCTTTCCTCTGAGAAAAGGGGGTGAACTCCACTTCCTTTTGCTCAGGCACGGGCGCGGGGCAGCCTGACCATTGGAGCCGCCACAGTGGCCATGACCATGGGCTCGCAGGATTGTGGGACATTCGCTGGGCAGGAACGGACTGGGCTGGTCCTTTGGAAGGGACCCACAGCCACACGGCCCCACCAACGGACTGAAAATGACCTCCACAACGACCTCAAAAACAGTCTGAAGAGCTCCGTGGTCCGATGGTGAAGGAATTTTTCGGGGGACCGAACAGACGGCGAGCCCTCTCCACGGAACCCGCCATGGTGAGCCCTCTCCGCGCCGCCACGGTGATTCGTAGCGAAGATTGCTGGGAGCCGGGAGGTGTGAAGAACTGGGATCCAAAGGACTCGGACGAGTCGGATGAACTGTGCCTAGATTCTAGATGGAAAGCACACAGGGAATGTGCTTCCCATCTGGGGGAAACTTCATCGGTTTCCCCAAAGCCTGAGTTGATGCAGCAAAGATGACCAAGATCCATTGTTCTTTTTTTTGAGCCACCTATGCGGGTGCTCCTTCTGTGAATCGGACATTTCGCGTCGTTTGGAATTTCCAGAGACCAACATGTTCCAAGCACTGTCGGGTGTTCTTCTCTCCATTGCTGTGGGTATAAACTGGTCCCTGGTCCACGTGCTTGGCTGACCAGGATGCATCTCAGAAGGTTCGAAGAATCAAATCTGGACGCAGACTAGCTTCGTTCAACTTAGGGGTAGGGTGCATTACACTAAAGTGCCCCCGATGGCATAAGGGGTTTGGTAATTTTTGAGCACTTCCAGGTTGAACTGGGTCTTTGTTCAGACACACACACACACACACACACACGGGCTCATCGAGTTACACGTCTGTACTCCGTCGCCAGAGGATGTGCACCAGGCGATTGCCGAAGTGGATCCTGTTTTCGCCGTGAACGCGGTGTATGTCTACGAGCAGGTCGGAGGGTGGGCCCTTGGGTCTTGATTTCCTGCCGCATCCGAATAAGTGAAGTCTACTGAGCGGCAGGACACATTGCATCAAAGGACCCAGGAGGGTCCAAGAATGAAATCCAAGATGATCCAAGCCTTCAGAATCACCTTCAGTATGTCAAGACTTCACACACTCTTCAGAACACTAGAACACGATGAATCTGCCCGATGAAGTGGAGGTTTTCACCGGACTTTCACCGGGCGCTTTCACCACCCGTCGGGAAGGCCTTTCGCTCAAACACACCGCCCTCCAAAAGTTCGTCGATGCCTTCGGTGGTCCAAAAAGACCCCGCTGGTGGTCGATAGTCCAATAGATCGACAATGATGGACATGGAGGGACATGCGTCCCACTGGCCGTCCTCGACACCCTGGCGCACGGCCGTTGCCTCGACTCCGCGGTCCATGCGCCTGTCCAGGCCTCGCAAACCAGTCGGGGTCTCAAAGGCCCAGAGGTGGGAGAGGGCACCAAGGGACGGTGATCCGAACGTGAATTCTAACTTAGGTGGAAGGTCATGCTCCACAGCATTTTTGTTCAACTGACGAGATTGCATACAAGTTTTCTAAGTATTCAGAAGTCGGGACCCAAGGAGCAGGATTGATGCACCTCGATGTCCAAGCATCTGAGAGAGTCTTGATGCATGAGCACGGGTCAAAAAGATGCTGAAACCTTAGTGAAGTACTTGATGCTCTCAGTTCGTCTGAACGGAGAACTCGCAGATTCTGCCGTTGGAAGAACATGACAGAGGGCTCGCACCAACGCAGATTCTGCCGGTGAATTTGATTTCAGACTTTCGAGCTTTTTGAACGGAGGGCCTGACGTCCGAACGGATCAAAGAGCTTGGCGTGGCTCGACGTCAGCTTTTTTGATCTTTTTTGGATTAATTATACAATAAATATATATACATATACACATGGGGAAACTTGCCCTCCAGTGGCCAGCAACTTGATATTGCCACGAGATTGATGAGCTCTTCTTCCTGATCATTCTTGGAGCCGGTCGCGGAGCAGACACATTGAAGAAGCTGGTGACACTGTTCGAGGACGTACCAGCAGACTGGCCCAACTGGAACGCAAAGAGTGTGCTGTGAATGACAAAAGGGCCCACCAATAGGTTTCATTGTGATGGTCGTGATGGCACAGCCACTGAAGATTGATTGCCCTGCTTGATCTAGAGGAGTATACACGTTGTTGGCTTTGCTTCAAGGTGGGTCTGTATGCTAAGCATCTGCCGAGAGTGCTGCATGGTCTTTCAGCTCTGGTGAAAGGAACACAGAAGAGCCTTTTTGTGGTCGGAGTAGTGGTGGATCATGCCGACGTTTCTGGCTTTCTGAAATACAGAAGAAAGCTTGAAGCCTAACAACCCCAGGTGCAGCTATGCTGTATCTGTAAGTGTTTGGTTGAGCCTTGTGACCATGCCGTGTTGCTTGAGGCCACCTTTGTCTTTGAGTGTCGAGCATGCTTCATCGCTGTCCCTCCCTGCGGCGATGCTTCATCGCTATCGCGAGAATATCTTGTACAATATGTCGTAGATATGATGTCTACGACATCTCGTGAACGACACGTCTACGACACGTCGAACGGACCAGGCTCGTGATCCGCGGCTTGTCGGGCCTGATCCCGGTTCGGTTCCGCCGCTTCTCGTCCTGGACGGGTCGCTGAACAGAACACGAGATGGAGGTTTCTTCATGTCGGTATGTGTATCTATGTGGACCCATGACCACCCTTGAGACCAATGACTCTATTGGCCCAAAGATATTTTCTCTGGGGTGCCTGGGGTCTCTGCATTTTAGGATATGTACCAATGCTAGTTCATAGAAGTCCAAGTCAAGTCTGACCCCCCATTCCCCATTCAAGGGGTGCGAAACTGTTTCTGGTGAACGGTTGGGCCATGGCTCTTGTTGAGCTGGTCCAGAACATGGACTTGGTCCCAAAAAGATGCGAACGAGTAGGGTAGGGTTTCTTCTTCGTCCATCTTCCTTGTGTTTGATATCCCAACTCTGGGCTTCGGAGCTTTTCCGAGAAGCTTGTTCAAGGCTGTTCATGAGACAGCTGCCTAGACTCCGTGTTCACAGTGGTTGAGCCGGTGGGGCCATGCAGATCTTTGTGCGAATAGGTAAAACGATTGTCTTGGACGTGGAACCTGCTTACACTATTCAGAGAACGAAAGAGCTAGTTCATCACAAAGAAGGCGTTCCTGTCGAGCAACAGATTCTCATATTTCAAGGGAAGAGCCTGGTGAATGGAAGAACATTAGCGGACTACAGCATTGGCAAGGAGTCAACACTGCACTTGAGCTTGAGACCGAGTGCACGTGGCACAGTGATCCGGATCTTCGTCAAAACACAGTGGGAAGACATCATGAGGTTTGAAGCCAAGCTGGATGACACAGTCTACGACTTGAAGCTTCGCATTCAGGCCACATATGGCCCTCCTCCAGATCAACAGTGCCTTATATTTGCGGGGGACACGCTGGATAATGGGAGAAGGTTATCCGAGTACAGGATTGACAATGCCACACTGTGGCTGGTGTTGAGGACGGGGAGGATCAGATCATTTGCTTCACATGCCAGATCGGATCCCTTGATCAAGTACTTGATGCTTTCCGATGAAGATCGGACAGCGGCAGAGGTGCCCTTGGAAGCTCTGAAGGAGAAGGCACAAAGCAAGAATGTATCCGGCTTTAACACTTATAGGTTCAGAGTGGGTGAAGAAATCGTGGGTCGTGAGGACCGCATGCTCTTATCAAGCTTTCTTGACTATATGTGGGACCAGACAGCCTCTGTTCAATTCCTCCATCGAGTTGACCTGCGCCTCCACCTCTCGGAGCAACAAGTCATACGACTTCTGGGCGCTGATGGTCATCCGAACGCAGAAGCTACTGTGAAGAAGCCTCCCAGAAGTACTGAAGATGGGTTTGACTTGTGTATATTGTGTGCATATATATGTATATATACTGTATATATGTGATTTTTTCCACTGTCTATGTGTATTCTCGAGTCTAGAGTCATCAAGCAGTGAAGCAGGCAGCAGGCCGGCAATTCAACATCAAGAGTGGCATAGCCATATTCTTGAACGGTTCCACACTTTGACCCTCTCCGAAACTAAGTTAAGGTAAAAGGCCAAACCCAGCGGCTCATAGCGTGTTCTTTGGTTCGCCAGCCTTCCCCTTGGGTGTGAGTTAGGACCAAGACTGCCTGCGAACGTCGAGAGATTTGGGGATGTGCGGGTCTGGGGGGTAGTGGGAGGCATCAGCCAGGTTTTAGCAAAGCTTAATGGCACAGCTCAGTGCGAAGTCGGTTTCTTTTCTATTGGCTTACTTTCTAATTTGCCTTTTCTGAGACGCAGAACATTTGAGATGGCTTACGTGGATTTTTTCAGGTCTGCTATGTGTTCTTGAATCTTGAAGGCAAAGCCTGTTGAGCTTTACAGAAGAGGCAAACCATGGCTTGAGCTCAAAAGTCTTGCCTCTCTTTTGTTCCTGCCTGTTGCTGTGCAAGTTTTGAGACACATTCCGCAAGCTGGAATTGCTGGCTTATGTTTCATATTCCTTCTTGTTTTTCAATTTTTCAAGCGTAGCCGAAGAATGCGACCAAAAGCATATAAAACATCGTCGTGCTGCTTGTGGCTGGACGCGCGCTGAACGGCCTTGGACCTATCGGTTTCTTCTTCCTTTCTGCTTCATGCTTTGCTCTGCGCACGTTTGCCCACCTGTGGGATCGCTTTTGTGTTTGCGTGGGTAGCTTAGGGGCACCAGTCATCGTTTTCCTTTACCTGACGGAAAAGAAGCATGAAACCAGAGCCTCCTGCAGAGTCGCGCATCCAAAGTGTCCCTAAAGTTTCCTTTTTTAAAGGAAGCCTGATGTTTATGTCGCACGAGCGCAACCATCGGTCGCGAACTAAAACAGCCACGTGCTCCATGCACGGTGCCTTGGATTTTTGGGGCAACTGTTGACAAATCCGAACGAGGTGCAACCAGGTGTGAGGCTCAAACACAGCTTTGGAAGGTACTCCACAAGCTCTGCTGGTGCCAATACTCCTTCCTTGCTAGGAATATATATGTATATTATGGCATATATATACACACATACACATGTATGGTATAATGGTATGGTATGGTATGGTATGGTATGGTATGGTACTAGTATGGTATGGTATGGTACGGTATGGTATTGTATGGTATGGTATGGTATGTATGCATGTATGCATGCATGGATGGAATGTAATGTAATGTAATGTGATGTGATGTGATGTAATGTAATGTAATGTAATGTAATGTAATGGTATGTAATGGTATGTATGTGCGCATGTATGCATTTTTTCCCCAAACAGTGTGAACACACTAGGGGTTCTTACGGTAGGGGAAAAGGAGCTGATGCTTAGATGGCTGAAGCGCGCGGGTGTGAACGGCTAATTCGTTGCTATTTACAGTACATTCATGCCTCTCGAAATCCTCGAAGTGCATTTCGACTGCGCAGGCTTGCTGAATCTGGGTGTCTGCGGCGGGTGCTTCTGACGACTGTGCTCTCGTTGTGGTGCCGTGCGCATTTTCGCACATGGTGGTCACTTTTCGTGGCAGACGCAAGGGAAACCTCGCGTTTTGGTGCTTCAAAGTCGACTTTTCGTGACAGGTGCAAGGGCTCGGAGCTGTTTTACTTCGAAGTGCAGTTTTCGTGGCAGGCGCAGCACTTTGGGCATGGTGGTGATCGTCGAGGAGCTCAGATTTCGTGACAGGTGCAGTGAATCGTGACTTTTGGACATGTGGCTCGTTTGCAAATTTCGTGGCAGGCACAGCACTCTGTGACCCTCGATGTGCAGATTTCATGGCAGGTGCAGCACTTTGTGAACCTTGAAGTGCAGACACATATTGCAGCGCCATGATATCAGTGCCGATGGACGGTTAGCAATGTTTTGCGTGGCTTCCACTGTCGCCCAGCCTACTGCGTAAAAACAGGTCCGGATCCATAGCGCCCCTTACCAGCCAGAGCGAGGATTTGGGGAAGGAGACAGGACTTCCCCCTGGGCCTGGAATGCTCTCTACAGTAGCAGTGCCGCGTCAATGCTGCGCGGCCGGGCCTTCAATGCGGCGTCCCCTGGAGGTGGAAAGCAAACTTGGAGTTGACCCCCCAGGTGGACGTGGAAAAACGATGGACGTGCCTGTCACCAGACCCAGGTTGAAGTGACCATCGTCGCCGACGACACCACCTTGCATGGGTCCCGCGCTGAGCTTCACACTGCCGATGAACGCGGTCCCTCGGGCCTTGACGTGTTCGCAGCGGCTGTCTTTTTGGGGGGTCTAAGGAGCGTGAAGGCAAACGTGAACGGCATACTTGTGGCAGTGCCACAGGCGTGTGCTTAGTTGGTGGTGGCGTTGCGCAAGAGGAAACTGTGAATCGGAGCATTCAACGAGGGTTGAAGTGTTGGGCCAAAAT